TGTAAATCTGTCCATTACTCAACTGGAATATGAATAGATACCAGATTTTCAGTATTCATTACATTTTTTTGTAAGATATGTTACTTATTCCATGTAAATCTTTCCATTACTCAACTGGAATATGAATGGATACCAGATTTTCAGTATTCATTACATTTTTGTAAGATATGTTACTTATTCCATATAGTCCTTTCCATTACTGAACTGGAATATGAATATACACTATACCAAATTTTCACTATTCTTTACATTTTTTTTAAGTTATGGTACATATTCTATATAATTACTGAACTGGAATATGAATAGATACCAAATTTTCAGTATTTATTATATTTCTTTAAGATATGTTGTTATTCTGCCCAGGACTGAACCAGTGAAGATGAATATATCAGATTTTCTTATATCATTAAATGCAATCTTACTCTTGTTGACAAGAGTGTATTTCACATTCTCGAATTCCATCATTCTACTGAAAATAATAAATGGGAACATGAGTATTGTTGCTTACAATACATGATTAATAATACTTAAATGTTACCGAAAAACTATGTTCTGTATGGCTTTCAAGTGTAAGTTAAAGAGGAAATTATGAGGTTAATATATGTATCTCTGATGGAAACAGAATTTTCTTTCAAGTTTCCCCACCTTCAGCTTTCCTGAATACAAGTATTCCATGTATGTTACAGTTCACAATGTTCAGTGCCTTTGGTTAAAGAGGTAGGACTTTCCAGGTACTGGTCAGAAACTTTCTCCAGGTAAATAATTTGCAACCTAATATCTTGTACTCCAGAGCTGCAGAGGTTCTTATTTCGTTGTTGTTTTTTTGGAAAGGAGAGGGGGAACGAAGTTTAATAACACTTCACTCAAATCCAACCTAAAGGATATGAGTGAAGTGATATTAAACTTACTTATGGAGCTGAGCCCTTCTTGAGAAGCGGCCAATTATGCAGCCGTTCAAGGATTTTCCAGCCTTTTATGGAACCTGAAGGTTCATTACTGTGTTTACAAGAGCCCTCCACTGGTCCCTATCCTGAGCCAGATCAGTCCAATCCATACCATCCATCCTGTCTCTAGGATACATTTTAATATTGTCCACCCACCTACACCTTGGTCTTCCCAGTAGTCTCTTTCCTTCTGGCTTTTCCACCAATATCCTATATGCATTCCTTGCCTCCCCCATTCGTGCTACATGCCCTGTCAACCTCATCCTCCTCAACCTCCTCAACTAGTGATACTGAACACAGTTGAAAAATAGAAATAGGTTGGTGGGAAAATAAATACTTTTACAACCAGATCTCGTGTACTGCAGAATACAAGAGATCTGGTTGTAAGTATTTATTGCTAGTAGCGAAAAAGGCATTTGGCGTGGGCCGGTCGTGCGGCGCGAGGGGGAGCACTCAAAATAGTTGTTAAGTTAGCATATTTTCTTACCGATTGTGCTCTCAGCCCTGGCGGCCATTTTAAATTTGGTTCATGTAGGATGCGTAGAGATGGCAGCAGCATTGCGCCGAGGTGTCATGGCCGCCATGTTGCCAACCAATAACGTGGGAGTTTCACGGGGCTGGTAGCGAAAACGCAGTCCAACGGACAAAGTTTACGTTGGTATTTTGTACATCAGGAGGTTTCACGCGCAAAATCGGAGTGATATAGTGGTTTAGAAAGTTATTATATCTGTTACAAATTTAGGACTACAGGCTGTCCATAACGCTATAGAAATATATATTTATTTGCTTAAATACAATTTTTGTTTTGTTTACGTACCGGTTTCGAATTTAACCTCGCTTTCTGGGCGTTAGGTTCGACGTATTAACATGGCGACATCCACAGGCGGTGTGGGTAAGTAACTTCGAAATTTACAATCTTTTCTTTTGTAAATATCGTCCTAGACAAGTAGTAAATTACTGTATTACAAGCATACAAAAATGTGTTTCATAATGTTAAGTTTTTATAACATAGTTTTAAATAAGTGGGTCCTCAACCCATTTTCTGGGACGTACCGGTGTACGCCGCACCCGCCATTTCTGGAAAGGTCGAGATAGTTATTTCAGTGATAATATTTAGCGTGTAATTCAGATCTAGGTTATCAATATATCGACTGTGTAACTGTTACATAATTGTTGACCTTCTGCAATAACCTTGAACAGTTGTATGCACGGTTTTTAGGTTAAGATTTACTGCCCCTCCCATGGACGTACCGAATTTTGGACATTCTGTAGTAGGTACTTTATTGTATTAGAAGTATACAGGGTATGATTTGAATTTATTCGTCATTTCGTTTTGTGCAAACATTATATGGTGACTTTTGCAGAAGAAACTTACACGTATATAGGTTTATGCCAAATGTTTAGATTTTCACATGAGTCGTTCTTACCTTGAGTTCCAGTATCTGTAAATTTTGTGAACTACAGGTCTGAATTTAGTGGTGGTGTGTTATTGTAACAAAATATATGTACACCATAATTATATTGAAAGCATAGAAGACCTCATGAAAATGACCAGTCGCTGCACATATTTTCAGTTATGTTTTGTAGTCCATACAAAGGAAGCTAATAACTTGTGCAGAAACGTTTGTTGGTACAGTAAAGTGACCAGTTACATATTCCTCTTCTGCGTCCTCATGTTCCCCAGTGTTAATATAGTGAACATGCTCTCTTGATAGGTTTTGTCTTGAATGTTGTGCAGTCTCTATTTATTTTGCTAGTCTTATTTACAGTGCAGTGATCTTACTTACTCCCTCAACTTGTTGAGCTCCTTGGGCTTCTCCTGTCAGGTCAAGCTTTCGAGGTTTGGACTGCTACCAGAACTGACAAACCTATAGTGTGATACAAAACAAATAGGACTTACATTATGGAAGATGGCTGAATATGCTCTGTTGTTATGTACATATACCTGGCACCTCTATTAAATGTTTACATTCATGCAAGGAAATTATCCAATTCTTTTTTTCAAACATAGACGAAACTTGAAATGTGAAACCATGAACTGTTCAAGGCATCTAAGGTTTTTTTTTATAGAACATATATAAGGTTTCATTCAATTTCTCTTCAATGAGTACATCATTGCAGTTTGGTTTTCTCATCTTTTACTCTGGCAGCATCAAATTATTGCTAGATGTGACAATAATAATAGCAATAACAACAGCAACACCAACAGAGAGCTTTTCCTGAATTTGCTGCAGTCTAGGTAAATTTTATTTGCAAAGTTTTGGGCTGTAGGTAGGTAGGTTGGCTGGCTGGTTCCTCAAGCAGTGTGAATCTCTGTCATCCAGCTTCATCAAAGGATAGAAGGAGTGTTAGACTTGATGAAAGAAGTGAGTGACTCTTTCACCTTAGCAGCTCAATGAATTGCAGCAAGTTCTGAGATGATCACACACACATCTTTTATGTACAGCAGTCCCTTGCCAGCTGCAGGTATTAGGTTACAGAGAAGCACCTTGGCTGGCAAAACTAGGTCCTTTTGGGATGCCAGAGCATAGCTTAACCACAGCTGCTGTTAGCAGTCATCAGAGACTAAGTTGACTGTTCATTCACTAAACACAAAAAATATAGTAACACACATGATGTTTCATGTCACTGATTGTTCTTGTCATCATTCCTCTTCTCATATCCTAGCAGTCGTGCATTAAATTTCCCCTGTGTGTGGAAAAGTTGGGTTTTATTTAGGTAGGTGTTACAGTTGTCCCTTTATTAAGTAAGCAGATGTCTCATCTGAGATATTTGATTTTTATTCTGGCTTTTAATTTTTGGAGGTGGCTCCTAGATTTGGAGGAAATTTGTAGAGGTCTTTGTGTTCTCATTAACAAGAAATAAAAATTACTCAGTCTTCTACAGTACCTCTCTGTAATTAAATGCCATATGAAAAATGTTGCGCTGTAAGAAACCAGCAGTGAATTGCTCTTACGTGCTATTAAATTCAGGTGTTAAAATCTGTGTGATGTGACACATAGTTTCTGTTACTTGCTGCTATGATACCATGTGATGATTTATTTATTCGTCATAAAAACTCATATGGTATTATAGAAGTCAGGCTAATAAGAATTCTTGTCTTCTGGATGTAACTGTGTATTTTGTTGAAAGCTAAGTGACTTTTCAGAGGAATGTGATGCCTCCATCTTCAAGTTTGAAGAATAAGCCAAGAAAGAAAGGAAAATGAAACAGACAGCTAGCAGGCTGCCAGATATTTTACATTTTCTTACTTGGTTTACTGTTTAATCTTAGAGATGGAGGGAGAATGTTCCTCAGAAATGTCACTTGACTGTTAGTGGACTGCTCTGTGTTATATTTCAAATAGTTCTTCGTGACCCCTGCTGTGAGACCTGAAGTCCTACACAGGATATTAAGAAAACTGAGGACTGGTATTTTTTATAATTATTTTTGTTTTGATAAGATTGGTTGCATAGTGATGTTTCAAGGTCACATATGTTAACATGTTTCATTTTACATATCAGCAGGTTTGATTGTAGAGAAGTTTGTGGCCAAGAAAACTGAATTGCACTGTACTGCCAAGTTGTTGATTGCTCCCATCCAAAGTCTTTGATGGCTGAATGTATTTATATTTCCTTGTCCAAGTTCTCCCTGTATGTATATTGACTGCAAGATACCTGTAAATATCACAGAAAGTGCATATGATTGTATGTTGTAAAAGGACTGCTCCATTACAGTTGTTCCACGTAACTTCCGCCTGCTTGAAGAATTGGAGCAGGGACAGAAGGGTGTTGGTGATGGAACTATAAGCTGGGGACTTGAAAATGATGATGACATGACTCTTACGCATTGGACTGGAATGATAATTGGACCCCCTAGGGTAATATACAGGCTGTAATTGTATATACGTATACATGTATAAGTCACTGATTTCAATTGTTTTCAGTTAATAACATATATGCATGTATCTCCAATAAATATTTGACTTCAAGACTATTATAGAACTCAGATTGTCATATTTGCATGATATTGTTGCTCATAATTAGCTGCCTTTTAAAAAAATACTTTTTTTTTAAATGTAAATGGTCAATCCCTTATTTGCATCATTAAATTGATCTATGGAAACATCCTTCATTTCACCTGTAAAGTCAATACAAATTTAGGGATTGTATTAGAAACTTCGCCTAATGTGCCGAGGAATAGTATGTATCTCTTAAAACGTTTGTAACAAAGAAATCTGTAATTTGGTGGCATTTACTAAAGACATGGAATAAATAACAGCTTCATACTGTGATTGATGGGGGTATGACACTGTGTTACCTAGTAGGTGGGTATCGATGTTTCAGAGGGACATAGCTGCATACATGTTTAGGGTGTAAGTATCCACCATGAAGATGGGGTCAGTTCTCTCCAAAACATACCACTTAACAGACTATGATATCATAACTCAGAAGACCACAATGTGAATTTTCACATAAATCTCAAATACCGTATTTCATGGCATAATTCTTCAGTTTTTCCCTCATCCATGATTTATTTTATCCGTCTTCTAGTGCATACATTCATCTATCCCCTCTTCTCACTCGCACTACATGTTTCGGCACAAAAGTGCCATCTTCAGGTGCTGATCCAATCCACGACAAACTAGTTCATTGCATGCCTTGTCTATACATACTAAAATAACTAAAATATATATTTGTCATATATACTGATAAATGTTAAGTGTTAAAATATTAAAATTGTACAGGATATTTCATTCCTACGTCGTGTTTCATTACGC